ATACCGGTCGGCCACGCCAAACGACTCCGAGTTTGACCAGACTACTCTTCTCCTCGTTCAGTCGTCACTTTTTGGCCGGTACATATGCTCTGGCTCCATTACCCCTGCGCTGGTAGTGCTGCAACGGTGAGGGGAGGGGAGTCTTACGTGCGCTAACGCGCGAGCCAATCAGGGAAGGAACAGGACAAGAGCGAGATGAACGTGCTAGATGCGGGCTCAGACGAGTAATCCTCGGTGCCACAGCAAGCTTTCGGAACCATGCCTTCCAATGGACTTGACGAAGCACTCAAACATGTATATCAAACCAAAAAATCACAACTATCAAGAAGACCGTCATGCAAAGCTTTGTTCGACCAGAGCACAGACAGCAATACGACGAGGAATTGGCGTTCTTAAATGTAATAATAGGTTGAACGAGAATCCCGCTACCTCGTCGCAACAGCCATATGGAAAGGGCGCAAGTCCCACGAGTGCTGACTCAACCGCTGCATCTTCTTCGTCCGATTCGAAAGGGGTGTAAGAGCCACGTCGACAGGTCGCTGTTGGGAACACATTCGGAGTACGTGCATCGGCTTGTCAAGAACAAGTTTTGAGTGACGATGAGTAAATGTAGACACGTAGACACGTAGAAATGATGTCGAGCGACATCGTCCGCTCCACTACACCTTCCAGGGCTTCATATCGCAAATAGGTCTAAATGAGCCATTCAGGGTGGTGGGCCAGGGTGGGCCTAGCGAAGACCACTGAAACTAGGACAAGATTCGCTTTCCTCACCCATAGATCTCGAACGAGCTGACGAGCCAGGGTGGCGGACTCGACAACCTATCAAACCCAAAAATCGTGTCGAACACGATCTTGCTGTATTTCAGATCCGTCTTCTGGGGGCTAACCTTCCGTTCGAGAGCCTGTCTGAGGTGTCGCCACGCCCGTTCAGCCGTGGTCCCTTTCCAGGACTACATGTTATTCGTGAGAAGCCCAGTCAGCAGTACATTGCGTCCTGTTGATACCCATCAGTATACATTCGCGCAGAGAGAATCAGGCAAAAACTTACACCGTGTAGTTACTTCGAGCCGATCTCAAGCACCGGCCAATCATGTGTGAAGAGATCGCTCATGTCCACGCGCAGTGTCCTGGCGGTGGATAATGTAAGAATGAAACGATTGACTTGCGCGAGGTGGAGAGTCACCAACGTCGGCGACAATAGAACCTTTATCATGAAATGACATTAAAGTCAGCTCCTGCGAGTATTATGACTGCGCGGTAGTCTTACCACAGCGCCCAGCGATCCCGGGTCTCTCTCAATCAACTTGACCTTCGCGTTTAGGAACGCATACTCCTCTCTCATAGCCCGATAAACTCTGAATCCCTCTTTCTACCCGCGAATCTAATCTTAGGTATATGTTGCGTGAGCTTTCTCTTTGATCGACTAGGCCGGAAAGGTGCAACAATGGTTCGTCGGTATTGACAGGAAGGACGATCTATGCGCCGACTTTCGAATCCACCGGGTTGAGCGCGTTGATAGCGACAAGATGAGCATCAAGCCGTTGTTCGGCGAGGAAAAAGAGCTGAGAGAGATCGTTTGGTGGTACTAATGCAAACCGGCGTGCACGTTGATACATGACCAGCGCGGCTATAACGTTCCATTCCTGAGCACAGTGCGAGCTCAATGCAAGCAAATATAACCCAACCTTTGCAATAATCGTTACCAGTGATGTTCCATGAGAGTAAAACGGCCGCACGCAAGGGTCCGTATCTGGGACCTTGAACGAGGGAGATTCCTCGACTTAGGCCTGAACACCGACAAAATTATACTTGATCAAGTTGTTTACCGCTCTGAGTTCAAAGATTTTGTGGGTTAGTTGCTTCTCGGCCCCTAAACTAGGCTTGCCACACTCACCCCTCGCTCAAAAAGCCCGAGCGGTATACATGGAGCAGATCCTCGAGAAAATCAAGGGCGACAAGTGGACTTCTGGGACCTTCCTCGTTGACCTCTTCGAAAGAATATCCCGGACCGTTGATGACCCAAGGCGGTCTGATGCTCCGAGGCTCAACGTAATGGTCTTATCCTTCCTCAGTGGTGGTGAAAACGTGAACGCGGATGAAATCGTTGAGCTCATGTACGCCCGTCACTGCTCCGCACCCACGCGCACCCGTAACACCCAAAATCCAGCTGACAGCAGCTCGACAACGAATGCAACAGCTGTAGGAGTTGGTCTAATCCCAAAGTCACCGGTGGGGCAGAAGAGCACGACGGTGAAAGAGAAGATGGCGAGTTGCAGGCTGCGAGAGTGGGCCATCAGAAAAGTGGTGGGGAAACCTACCGCATCTGAGTACGGTCAGAATTATCGAGATCCTTGAAAGGTGCGTGTATTTCATGTCCTTACCTTACCCAGGACCGCCACTGTTGTCAGGAGATGATGAGATTGCCTTGACTACGTGCACGATGATGATGAACGGAGCGTACAACTTTCACGGTGACCTGTTCTAGTACATCGTCGGTGTGTGGCTCTTTGGACAGACAGCCTCCCGATACACACCCGACCCGGTATCTCCGTCTTCTATGCATCCGTTCTTGGCCATCTGGGAACACTTTCCAAGCGCGAGCCGATATGTGTAAATCAGCCTTGAGCCCGGTATTCCTGTTGATCTACGATGACATTAATCGAATGGCCAGGGCGTGGGGTCCAGATTATGGCAAGAAAGATCAGATGCATAACGGGACGGCGAGCACGTACCTCGCTCTCGAGGACTGTAGCCTTCCGCGGCCGGAGGCTCTGGACCCAGAACCGCTCGACCAAGCGCGTACCAAACAGCGGCGGAAGCAGCTCACACAGGAGACCGTTCGAGACCGCTTACACTTCCAACAGCTATCCGACATCTTCTCCCTTCATATCCTTAACTTCCTCATCGAAAAGAGGGAAGAATCAGCCCAGCACTCCGAGCTCGTAACGCTCAGGCTGCGTACCACGCACAAGGTTTACCGAATGCGTGATGTGCCAGTGGAATATATTTCCCATGAGTTCCTCGAATTGGAACTCCTGCTCCTGAAACACCGGCGAGACGGCGAAGGCCCTTGACGATCTGGTCCTAGATCCAACTAGGCATGCCGAACGATGAGGAAGATAAATTGTTCATAATTGTCGGAGGGGATCAATCAAGTGTTGAGAAACTACGCACCCTGAAGAGACCCTGAAGAAAATCATGTCCGATTGTCCGCACCGCTAATCGAAATACGCCTGGGTCCTTCCTCTGATCTAGTTGTAGCTCATGGGCTGGCTATACCTGGAGAGAATTCTTCGTACGCACTGGCGCGTTTCCGAGAGTTATGACCTGTCATCGCACTGCTCGCTAAACGTATTGCTCGGCGGGACCGTGAAGAATGTGAAACGACCAGACTGCGACTCCACTGAGCATCTAGTGGTAGATGCATTGAAGGCCGATGTTTCTGACTGTCGGAAGTGAGTGATAATCGTTGAGCGCATCCTTGGACAAGAAACTGACGAGCTTACCTTAAAGTGCATCTATGAGAAGATGACCTCAACACATACTTCCAAGATCATGAAACCGATTTCGACAAACTGTTGAAACACGCAAAGGTTATCTGCGAGAAGTACGCTACAACGACGAGGTACCAGATCGCGCTGGCAGGTGGTAAACAAACGGAAGAATTTTTCAACATGGGCAGTCCGTGGACGGAATCAGCGTCGAAGCGCAAGATGCCGGTAGGATGGAAGGATGTCGGCGATGCTGAACATGCGAATGTCTTTCTCCGAAGTCGTGACTCGCTTCTTCATTACGAGTTCCAGTCGGCTATCGCAGACGGCGATATTGGTTGGGCTATGTATGTGATGTCGGTGAGTGTCATAATTTAAACATGCAAGACGGTGACTCACAGGAATATGTAGGTCTGGACGTTTACGTTCCTAGGTTCAAATAAGCACAAGTATGTGGATGAGCTGCTGGCACTTACCTTCAATTTCGAGTTCGAATACTCAGCCGAACTGCAGGAAGTAACCTTGACCAACTGGCTATGCAATCTCACGAGGTTTCTGGGCGGTTGGTTTCCTCTGGACCTCCTACAAGGGAAGAACATCAAACAGCTGAAGGTGTCACAGAAAAAGGGCACAGTGTACGGTGCGAAGTTCTTCAGACGCATCGTGTCCATCAATGTTCGCGCGTTGATTCAGTCCCAGAATTCACTAAGGAAGACGGTTCGATTGGGGAAGAGAAAGAAAACTTACAAGCGAACCAAGAAGGCGAACGTTATGCGCGAGCTCATCCCCGAAATGTGGAAGCAGGGGCTGCACAGGTCCGCGCTGGTCGAGATCGAGGACATTCTGCAAAAAACGACTTTGCGGTCAGTTACGCTAAGCTGGCTACGGGTACCAAAATTCGTGAGTTCCTTGCACGCACCTTGACCGAGACGGCGAATCTTCACGGCACGGATGAGATACAGATGGTGGAGCGGGATTGAGAAGCGAAGGTGAACAGGATCGTGAGCCCGCCCAACCACCTTCCATTTTCGGACGCTTATGTCACTGCACCGGCGACGTGGCTCGTCAACGCGTCTTGCGCCTCCGACACGCTCTCGACTTAGACGATTTATCTCTCGCTCGAGCTTTTCCTTATCCCTCTCTTGTTCAGGCTTTTCCGTGGTATTTCTCTGTTTCTATGAGCTGTATATTATTCATATATGACTAGACAAATATCAACGACACCGGATACTAAGTAGCTGCGAACCCTCATTGTCGAGGACTTTTCTCGGTAACTCTTTCTCCAATCAATGCCACGAATAGGATTCGTGGCGCTTCTGCTTCTTCTCGGGCGAAGCAGCAATGATATGTTCTCGTGCTCGCTTTGATGAGCTTCTTGTGGGTGTAGCTGGTACTGCTCGCAGGGTTGTTAGCACATCTCTGGGATCCTCGCCTTTGTTTGAGCTGTTTGTCTCGGGAACGTCTCCTTCCGTTGAGCCAATTCTTCCGAGCTCCGCGGAAAGTGCATCTAAGGCGGCCTTCGCACTCTTCGCCCGCTCAAGATCCATCACGCAAAGCTCAATAGGTACGTGAGGGCCCGCGCCAACTTCTTCGAGAAAGATGCTCAACTGACGGAGCTTGGGCGCCACACTATCTAAGTCATGCAGTGCTCGTGCTATCGTTTGCTGGTCGATACCACGACGCGACACAGAGGTTGGCATGTCTTCTAGAGCTGCAAATTCCGAAGGACCGCCTCCTTCTTCCTCCTCAGCATCAGTCGCCACACTCTCTGTGCAATCACTGTCGACGTCCGACACTGTCTCTACCCAGGCTAAGTCACCCGTCTCTTCCGAAGAGGCAACCTTGCTGCCTGCTTGACTTGGTCTTCCAAGGATATCTTCCACTGCTAACGCAGCACGGGCGACTGGGCGAGTGGCAATTGAGCCCAGAGACTGGTTGTATGTAGGGGCCGTGGTTGGCGTTGCAACAAGGTGCGTGTTATGAATTTGGAGGGCTTCGGCTTCGGATGTAGGTAGATGGATATAAGGTGCGGTGGGGACGGCCTTCCGAAGAATATCCAGCTGTAATAGGGCGGCACGCATGTGCTTACATGCACCTCCATTCTTGTTGAAGTCAGGGCAACCACATGTTGACCTGTGGCCCTCGCATGCCAGAGTAACGGTGTACATGGAAGGATTTGGATCTGTGGCTGTCGCATACGATGAATAGCAATTGAAAGCAAATGTCCGCGACTCAGCATCTGGAGTGGGAATCCGGCTGATTTGATTGTGTTCGATCAGTGCACTGGCTGAGGCATCACGAGAGTTATCCGGACACAAGAATGCAATTGGAGGAAGCTTGGTGGATGGTTTGGAGTCCATGCGACGAATAAGGGCAGTTCCCCCAGGAAGTGAGGTAAGTTGTTTTCTCCATCGGGCATCTTCTTCTTTTGCAAGTGATCGTTGTTCAAAGATCGCCGGCATGATCTTTGTCACCACTAGAAGCAGCAGGACATCGAGACGCAAACAACGACCACCTCGTTGCCAGCGCTGGAGCCGCCGACGCTTGAAGACTCGGTTGAAGGATTCCAGATGGTTGGTCGTCGTAAGTACTCCCTCTATCTCACAGCGAAGTAAGACTGATGCATAGCGCCGACCGTAAGCAGACCAGCTCTTCCAGAGGTCCTCGGACAGCCAGTAAGCCCGTAAGTATTCAACTTTCCTTTCTGAAAGAGTCCGGGATGATCCTGAAGGACAGACTCCAATGCCGTTGTAGCGTCCGTGACAATTCCTAGAGCGCTCTCGTAAGTGACAGTTTCAAGTAGATCCTGCTCCACGCGTCGTAAACATTCCTTGATGAGTAGATGAATGTTGACGTGCGCTGCTTCTGTGACCTTGATACCTTGCATGCGGTTGTACTGACGGTATAACGAACGCGTGTCGTAGGGCTTCAGTAACCATCGGTAAGGTGAGTTCGACAGATCGCTTGGCTGGCCTTCATACTTCCGAGTCTTATGCATCTGACGGTTACGCGTTTGAATCTCATCCAGACTTGAGCCATCTTGGAGTTGCTGAAGTGCTACCGCAAATTCCGAGGGATGAAGGTTACGGCGAGGAAAGTCGGTGAGTTCGGCTCCATGACAGGCATCATTGTGAAGAAGCAGGCCTCGGATCGGCAAGATCTTTTGAGTTTCAACAGTGTATAGGATTTCCGCATGGGCTGGACAGCCCACGTATGGAAAGGGATTGTGCCTCTCCTTCGTTCCACGCTGTGAGTGATCGTAACCGCACGCACTGACACGCCAACATGCTGATTAGTGATAGTACATTCAAAGTAGTCAGAGAAATCACACACCATCGGAACAATATACGACAAGTCTGTCCCTTCTTCTTGCCTGACTTCCGTGTCCAAACCGTAGCCCAGCGGTTCGCCAATGATTCACGTTCCTCAAAATCCAAACCAGCCGCTGCGAGGAGAGATGTGGCACTTAACTGGTGCTGATCATCAAGGACGCGGTATTCATAGTCAAAGCCGTAGTTCGCATCATAGAGTCGGGATATCTCCTCGTTCTGGGCGGCAGTCACCTTCAGCTCTTTGAGATAGACTTCGGCTGCTTTCCGAAGTGCGGAGAGGTCCACTTTCTGCCCACTGGCTTCCTCCTCCCCAACATGGATCCAAGTATTCTTCCTTGAGTGAAATGTGCGTGATTTGCCAGTGCCTTTAGGTTGTGTCATGATAGCTAGTGGGGTGGATGAATGAAGGAGTAGTGAAGACACAACAAGCGAGTGAGGTTTCATTTGGACACAAGACACAAAGGCGCGGCTGTATTTGAATTTGTTGCTTGGGCCACACAGGGCCTTTTTCTCTTGCTCCTCATTTCTGTGCTTTCATCTTATTATTTATTTATCTGTATGACGAAGCTGCAGCATACATAGTATTGATTTATAGATTGATTATATACATGAAAGAAAAGCTCGAGCGAGAGATAAATCGTCAAAGTCGAGAGCGTGTCGGAGGCGCAAGACGCGTTGACGAGCCACGTCGCCGGTGCAGTGACATAAGCGTCCGAAAATGGAAGGTGGTTGGGCGGGCTCACGATCCCCGTTCTCAACACCTTCGTATGCTATACTGCGTCAAAATGGGCTGCTCGCATAGAGGGTTCGCGTCTGCATATATGCGGGGCTCAGCGGGTTCTCGGACTGCATTTATTTTATTATTCTTGACGCAATCGCGACCCTGGAATGACAACACCGGCAACTCAATTCAAGATCGGCGACTTCACCGTCACCGTCACCGTCACCGTCTCCCCGCGTCTCCGATGCACGGCCCCCTCTTATTTTCTTTATCTATCTCCCCTCCCTCCCCCCTCTCCGTTCTCTCTGCCGCGCACGTCCTCGCTCGAAGCTCACTATTTCCCAGTCTCAGTGAACGGATTTGGTGAGTACATATTTCATCTCGTCAAATACTCCACCAAAAGACCCCGCAATGTCGAGCTGGTGACCTCTCCTAGGCAGCCTCCTCGATGTTTACGGACC